GCTTGAACCCAAGACTGTGGTCAACTGAACTGCAAAGCTAATGATTTTTTTGCTTCTGTTTACCACTTGCTTGCTGGAAAATTCCAGTCCTGCCTAGAGCCCACAGGTCCCACTTATTAATGTATTAATTTCTATAATTGGCTAGCTTACATGACGATGAGCAAGACACTGAGTTGTGGTTTTTGTGCTTATATTCTCTTTGGATGGACCAGGAAGCTGCTGTCCTCCCAGAGAGCTTGAGTCTCTGCGGTGGGTGACAGTTTCTGGCCAGGTAAATAAAGCTCTCTTTTGATCTGAATTTAGACTTAGAGTGCTTTCTGGGTTGACTCCCCATAACAGTCACCCTGTGAGAGTGAAAGGCAAGCAGAAAGCCCCTATGGCGACTGTATTTCTTGGGGCAGTGATTTCCAAAACTGGCCAAACTTCCAGATCACCTGAGGACCTCACTAAGATGAATATTTCTGATATTTTAATTCACTGGGTCCAGAATGGAACTAGATCTTACAATTTTATCAAGCATTCCAGTCAATTCTGGTCTCTATGCTGAAGGGCCACATGAGGTGGCACAAACCATTCACCTGCCAGGAAAAGGCAGGTGAGACTGTGGCATGGCAGTGGCTAGCCTGAAGCATTTGTTTAGTTAGTAAAGGGCTACTTGCACCCCATTTCTTTAAAAACATGAAAATTGTGTTTGCCTGGACAAACCACCACTTCCTTCTTAGAGGCTCTGTGCCCTCCCCACATAGTGGTCACCAGGGTCAGAAGAACCCTTCCCAGATGGCCTCCTGTCCAGAGCTCCTCCTGCTTTCCTGGGAATCTATCAGCCACTCAGGGTTACTAGGACAACATCACTTTACAAAATACACTTCCTGACATCTCCAGCCACTTGATAACATCAGATCTATTCCTGGTTAATGAGAAAGAGAAAAAAGAAAGAAAGAAAAAGAAACCTCTGATTCCTGGCAGTTACCAAAGCACAGATCATTTACATAATAACAAGCAAACAACCTCCCAAGTCAGAGGCTCAGCAGGTCATATGATGGGGATGGAGGCGGGTTATAGTTCACGGCCTGACTCTTGGCACTGATCAATTTTCAGGCAGCCACAGAGAAAGAAGATTTGCCCACCCCTGAAGGGAAGGAGATCTGACAGACATGAATGACAGGTGTCAGCTGCTACACTGAGTCCCTATCTCTGGGTGGAGCAAGGTCAAAGGTGTCAGAAGCAAGAGTTGTAGAACATCAAAGGAAGATTGTCCTGTAGGATCAAGTCCCTGAAATTCCAGGATCTGGAACCTGGGATGGAATCTGGGCCTTGAATGTTACAAGCTTTGGTAATTATGGTCATACTGGTCATGTTTCAGCTTCCACAGAACAACATGGACTCACAGACACAATTTAAGCCCAAAGTCTCCAACTCATGGACAATTTGTATTTGCCCTTCCAACTTACCCAGAGTGGTTTTCTTTTCTTTTCTTTTTCCCCCCACATTTTTTATTGGTGCATTCTAGTTGTACATTCTGATGGGATTGTTTGTTACATATCTGTGCATGCACATGTTACAAAATATAACAATATAATTTGGCCAATATCACTCACCCAGATTGGTTTTCTATAGACTTCAGAAATAGCTGGTATGTACCCCACAATTAGCTTAGTCAAATATAGGTAATAAAAACTGAAAGCAGATTTCAGATCCTGCAACTCTATTCCTGAAATGATCCTGCAGTCTGCATCTATATGTGACCACTGGTTCCTATAGCTTTTGAAGACAGAACCCTTTAGAGACTGAGGTAAAGCCTGGGAAACTGTGGCCCAGAAAGTCAACATACCATTCAGTGCATCGCATCAATAGGGAGTTAACTTTGATCGACAGTCTCTTGCTTCCAAACTTGGAACTTTCCACCTATGAAACCATCTCTTCTTCAACCCTAATATGGTACACAGTGACCTGTGCCTTTTTCTCCCCCTGGGAATGGCTCCAGAGCCAGAGTCTAGGCTTCATAGACTTCTGAACACTGACTTCCTTTCCAAGAATGCTCTGCAGCATGACCATCAGGTTTTCACTCTGTGCAAAGAGCAGCAAAGAAAGACCGAAGCTCAGAAGTATCTGCCAGCTCCCTGTTCCAAAAACATTTCCAGCATGGAAAATGGGTAGCAGAGACACCTATTCCTTTAGAAAAATGAGGCTCAAAAGATTCCTCTTAGTCATCTCCATTCCTACATTCTCAAGGAGAACATGCTGCCTGTGGTCCCTTAATATCTGTTCTTAGAGTGTCCAGCTTCATTGGTATTTGTTATGGTATAGAATGAAGTGTTCCCCAAAAGCTCATGTGTGAGACAACTTAAGAATTTTCAGAGGTGCAATGATCAGATTATGAGAGGTATGATCTAATCAGTGGATTTAATCATTAATATGGATTACAATGGTAACTGTAGGCAAGTAGTTTAGAGAAGTAGGTCACTTCAGGTGTATCTTTGGGGTTTGTTTGTTTGTTTTTTACCCTGGTGAGCAGAGTATTCTGTGTGTGTGTGTGTGTGTGTGTGTGTGTGTGTGTGTGTGTGTGTGTCCTGGCCACCATGTCCTCAGCTGCTTTCCTCCACCATGCCTTCTGCCATAATGATGTGCCTTACCTCCAGCCCAGAGCCATGGAGTTGACCAACCATAGGCCTCTAAAACCATGAGCCAAAATAAACTTCCTCCTCAAGTGGCAATTTTATCCACAGCAATGCAAAAGCTGACTAAAATGGTATGCAAGAGATGTCAATCATTGTATATCCTTTAGTAAAGAACCATCTGCCTTCAGCCTTTGGAGGAGAGGGGAAAAGAGACTGGAGGGACACCTTGAACCCATCATTTCTTTCTTGTTCTAGGTATGCTGGGAGGCCTGGGTGAACTGTAATTTCTATCTTTGGACTCTTACAAGAATTCCATATTTTAAGATGAAACTTACCTTCTCCAAAGCTACCTGATAGGGGTCCGTTGGAAAGTGAATACAGAGAGAGAGAGAGAGATAGTTCTAGGTTGAGGTCAAAATGGTGATGGGAAGGGGGTAGACATATAGAAAGAGGAGCTCTGAAAGGACCATCAACTGCTGGATCAGCGGAAGAACAAGCTCTATCCATTTGAGAAAACTGCATGCCCTGCAGGGTGGGCTGAGAGTACCATCAGGGACTCTCTAAGTGGCCAGGGATAGGGCAGGAGAGAAGGAGGATGGGTCCCTGTGGCAGAGAGAACTCTTGGGCCAGGAATGTGAAGCTCTAGTAATGGAGGGATGCAGGAGGAAGGGGGCTGGGAGACAAAATAAACAGAAACTGACTGAGAGGACCACAGAAGAGCTTGAGCTTGTCCTAAAAGTTTTTATTGCATTTCCGGAACTGAGCCGGTGACCCTCACCTGTTGGGAAACCATCCCTGCAGCTGACAAAACTGTATCTTCTGCAGTTTTATAGCATAGAGACTGTCCTTTATTCACAGTATAACAAAAGGGACATTCGTCTTCGATATACCATAACAACCCCTCACCCTTACCATAAATAAGAAAGAATTATGTAAGAGTTACCTATTGTAGCTGTGAGAAAATTTAGCTGTTGTAGCTGTGAGAAAATTTAGATGAAACTTATGTTCCAGTTACAGTCATTCTGGGTCATCATACATATATATTTTTCATTTTCTAAAATGTCTCTAGTCTTTCCTTTTTCTATTTTCCTTAATACATGGTTTCATAGGTGCCTCAAAGTTTTAAGCAGTTTCCAATGCCATTGGTAAGTAGCCTGGATTTCAATTAAAAGTAGTGAATTGTTCTGCTGTATTTCCCAAAAATGTTTTCATTACTGCCAATCGCAGTAGCTAAAGAAAATTTGGTAATGTGACAGTCTAGGTGTGCTAGAGGCCAAGGACAAAAGTCCTATCACTTTTACCCTACTGGCCCCAGTACCTTCAGCATGTCCCAATCCAACTCCCATGCCTGCCTGGACAGCTCTGCAGAAGGTCCCCCACCCCCACCTCCTGGCAGGAAGAAGTATGGCCTGACAGTCACTTCTCGGTAGCCAATCCATTTGTTCATTTGAAATTCTTTGATGTATTCATTTAACAAATATTAGTCTAGCAGTTATTAGCCACCGAGTGCTTCTCTTGGTAGTTCAGATACAAAGAGAAATAAAGCAGAAAACAAAGATTACCAAAAACTTTTCACTAAGTGAAAGTGGCCCTTGTTCCATTTATGAATTATTTTCCAATCTCATTTTGTGATGGGCATGCAGCTGGAGTTGCAATTTATCCTCTTCTCCTGGTTTGCTGCATAGATGCTTTGAAATCTCAGATCGCCTCACCCTGAGGTAGTTGAAAAACCTCCATGGTTAAGCAGAATCATGAGCCAAAACCACAGCAGAATGCTGCTCAGAGGAGATTGCATTTGCTGACTGGCTAGTCCTGCAGAATTGGACCCTTAGGGTGTAGAACTCACTTGGGGAGAGTTTGTCCTTTTGTGTATACTAATAATGGGACACTGACCCACAATGGAGATAGAATGTTACCATGAAAGGAAGGGATAGTGGGGACAGAGACTAACAATGTCTGTGAGAAGGGCACACCCTGCAATTATCTCCTCCCATGCTGCTGGTATGTACCATGATGCTGAATCATCCCCTTAAAATTATGCAGAAAGGAAACGATGTTCTTTGCTAAAGAAAAGCCACAGGAAGTTGAGTGGGGTAAGGGGATTCTTAGGACTAATAGTTGTCACTCATATGGATATTGCCAGATATTATAGTCAGAAAGTGGAAGGTGCCCGGGGGTGACTCATGAAACCAAGAGACAATGTCCATAGCATGGAGAGTGCTAGGCTGGCCCTGGGGAAGGGTTTAGGAAAGGAGAATTTGGCATCAAGCAGTGCAATTATTGGAAAGTAGGAATTGGATGTCTTTGTCCCTGAGATCTACTCTCTATTCTAACACAGGTATGGCACTCCACGGGTCCCTCTAGCAGGTTGAGTGTCCTCACTGTAAAAGAAGAGAGTTTATTTGGCCCTTTCAATGGCTGAATCTACTTCAGTACTGTTCTGATAAGACAATGTCCCTGGGCTGGACCAGATCCTTGTGCCCCATAGTTAGCTTCTGCCATTTCCCCATCCCACGATTAAATATGCCTCCTTCACTCTAGTTCCTTCTCCAAACAGGAATGACTTAACTCTAACCATGGGAAACCAGCACTGAATTCTCTTTTGAAGCAGCATAGAGCTCAGCAGGGAGACAAGGAAGGGCCAGAGAAATGAGGTGCTTTAGGCTGGGAACTCACAGACAACCAGGTAGGAGGATGAGCAGGAAACATCATTCCAGAGTCCATCCTTCAAGAGAACCACACAGTCCTCCCCTGAGCCATGGTTATTAGGCTCTTTCGCCTTCCAGTTGCTGTAGGTTAGCCTCCCTCCTGTCACATACATAAACTGGCCTTCTGTAACCTCATCTGTGATACCCAGGAAGGCATTGTCTCTGGCCACCTGTTGGATGTTCTTGTTCTCCTCAGCATTCTTGGGGGCAGCCACAGTGGCCTGGAGTTCTGTGCACCAAGCCTTCGCTTTGGAAAAAGGCATATTTTCACCATTGGTCACGTAGAACTTCTTTCCAGACTTTTTGCCCAAAGAGAAGGCTTGCACTGAAATCACAAAGAGTAGATGAGGCTGACTGGAGCCCAGCTCAGGACAGTAGGTGAAAAAGCCCTTCTCTGGGAACTGGACTCTAAAAAGCTAGTACCATGCCCAAGCTAATGCCCTCTGTCAGAGACTATGAGGAGGCCACTTCCCAGCTGTAGAGTCATGGAAGGGACATAACCTCTGGCAGACAGCCAGATCCCATCCTTGAGACCTACATTGGTTAAAAACTACCCTGGCACTTGGTGGACAGAGAAGACATGCTTGGGCCTCACTGACAGGATCAGGCACCAACAACCATGTAGGAACAGTGGATGTCGAGAAAGGAGCAAAGACTTTGGAGACAACAGATCTCTCTTCACTTCTTCCTCTGCCCCTTGCCGGCAGTGTGATGTGGAATAAGTTCCCTATGCTTCCTGAAATTCTTTTTCCTCATCTGCAGACAAAATACATATAACAACCACAACTAACATTGGTGAGGGGATTGAATGAAACCCTATTACAGGAAAATGACAACCCAGCACAGACCCTGGTATGTATTGAGTATTCCTAAGTGTTAGTTCTCTTCCACTCTCCCTCCAAATCTAGTTCATGCTGAAGAAAAAAGTGAGGGTCAAGTACATGTTGGGGGCAGAGAAAAGACTTACACTTTTTGATGTGGTCCAATTCTGATTTCAGGTTCCTTATCTCTCTCTCTAAGTTAGCCAGTTTAGTCTCAGCAGCTGCAAAGCAATAGAGACAAGGGTATTTAGTAAGAAGACCTCAAATTGGAGAACAGAATATTTTGGAAAAGGATTTTTTTTTGGCTTACTTAAATGTAAGCTTGTTGCAAAAAAAAAAAAAAACCAAGAAGTCAAAATGAAGCAAAAAAAAAAAATTAACTTTATTTCCGTCTTCCCAGTTATATCTTGATGTTATGGTTTGGATCTGGAGTGTCCCCAGCTGGTAGCACTATTGGGGGATAGTGGACACTTTAGGAGGAAGTAGGTCACTGGGGGCTTTGTCCTTGAGGACATATCTTGTCCCCACTCCTCCCTCCCTCTCTTTTTGCTTCTGGCTGCCATGAGGTGAGCAGCTTTGTTTCACTACACCCTTCTGCCATGATGTTCTACTTCCTCACAGACCCAGAAACAGTGGAGCTGAGAGCACAGATGGACTCCTCTAAAACCATGGGCCAAATTAGTCTTTTCTACTTTAGGTTGATTTTCTCACAGTGAGAAAAGTTGACTAATAGACTTAGTCACCCTTAGCAACTTGTGACTATAATCCTGGATTCTTTTCTTCACCTTTTGCTTATGATAATGTTGTAATAATTTTTTTGGTTGAAATATAACTTTTGTTTTTATTTATTTATTTATTTATTTATTTATTTATTTTGGTTTTAAATACACAAATTTCTTTTTTTTTTTTTTTATTTATTAGTTCCCAGATCTTACTGGGGTGTGCTCCTTACCCGAACTATCTCCACGATCTCCTTTTTGGCCTCTTGGTCCTGGAGCCCCAGGCTCCCCTGTATTTCCTGGAGGCCCCAGTTTCCCTGGAGGGCCCTGCAAACCTCTGAGCCCTTGACCTGTTACAAAGCAAGGAACAATGACCCATGATTATTACTCATTTTCCCTCTCTAAGAGCTCAACACTTGATTCACACTGACCCCAGGAAAGAACCAGGGAACTAGTAGTGACTCAGAGAAGAAAGTGCTTCTGCATCCCAGGGCAAGAAGGCTGTCCTGAAGGCAATCACACACCCCCAATTTCTATGGAAGTGTGGGATCTTGGAGAGCCAGAGAGCATCTTTATTTGGAAGGCAGTGATGTGTTATAGGGACTAGTCAGGTGCACTAATATCCACCATAATAAAAGCTGAGCCTCCCCAGGTCTCTGCTACATCCCTCATGTGGAACAGTCCCCTGCTGGCGACATCCAGAAAGACAGAGCAGCCCGTCATGTACCTGGCTCTCCCTTTTCTCCCTTGAGTCCATCTCGCCCATCTCTGCCTGGAGTGCCGTTGGTGACAGGGATCCCACAGGTAATCACGGAGCAGGTCTTCTGGGCATCCTCACATGTTTTTGTTTCTGAGGCCACTGTCACCACACTCAGGAGAAAGACAGGGAGTAATGGAAACAGGAACATGGTCCTTACCTCAGAGTGGAGAAAGTCAAGGGAAAAAAAATCATCTCATTTTGTTGAGTCAGCATATGCTGCTACCTGTGCTTGCCTCCCCTGGCCTGTTAGGGCCCTTCACCTTCCCTTTCTCCAGGACCAGTTGGAGAGAGGTCTGGTTGGAAGGGAACTCCCGTGATCAATCCTTTGACATCTTTCCCCTCCCTCCCTTCCTTCCTTCCTTCCTTCCTTCTTTCCTTCCTTCCTTCCTTTCCTGTTGGTCCTGGAGTCCACAGTCAAGGTTTCTAAATGGCACTAGTGCACTCACATCCCACTCATCACTTCCTTTGGAAAAGACCACCTTTAGTTTGCAGATGGTCAAGTGGATCCAAGAAAGACACAGATGCCTTGGATCATAGAGTCAGAAGCCCAGGTGGGCCTATTGACCCTTCTAAAGCTTCTACTCAGTCCTCACCAGGTTCAAGCCATGAAGCCAGACTGTAGGCCCAGGTCTCCACCTCTTTCCTTCAGAAATGACTTACCCGGCACCGAGGCAATGCAGGGAAGAGAGCCCTCCAGCTCAGGCTTCTGGCAGCTGCCTCAACAATGTCAGGCCCAATTAGGCTGGTGACCAAAAACCACACTGGCCTGGCCTTCAACCCCAGATTAATAAACAACTATCCTGGGCTGGAGATGTAGTTTAGCAGTACAACACTTGCCTTGCATATATGAGGCCCTGGATGCCACCCATAGCACTGCAAAAAATTAATGAATAAATGAAAATAAAATTAAATTCTAATAAACAACCATTCTTGGAGCTGCTATAACTAGGTAGTTCTCCTGGGCTGCTGGTGGGGTCTCCAGAACAATTCTAGGCAGTGTCTATAGTAAACCAACTCCTCCTTCACCTGTCCCACCCACACATCCATTTATACAGCTCAGTCACTCTGATCCTGTAGAGTCACAAGCTCTCAGCACAGTTCCATCTAGATACTTATTTCCAAAACAAACATGCACAGATGTTATACCAGACAAACACATGTGTTCGTGCACACACACACATGCACACACTAGCATACATCTCTGTATCCATTGTTCTCATCCCTTCATTTGGGTTTCATTTATTGCAGGGCCAGGGTGGAGACATGAAAGACCTATAACCCTGGGTAAACTCACTTTTCCCTCATCATCCAGGAAATTTGTCAAATATCTTCTTGGGACCTGAAACAGAGCTAGGACAAGGGGAAGACATATTTGCAGACAACTTAAGTTCAAAACTGAATGTGAGCATTTGCACCAACTGGCCTCTCTGCCCAGACACTTGCCTCTGTCTTTGCATTGTCATTTGCTGTCATTCAGATTTCATCTTAAATATTGTCTTGGGAGAAAGGTCTTTCCTAACCATTAAATTGTAAGTACGCATGTTGATAAATAATGATTCTCTGCTCTAATTTTCTGCTTCTCTGTGTGAATTTTTGTTGTTTATTTGATTACCTGCTTATTGACCACCTTACCCCTTTAGAATGAGAGTTTCATGAGCTGGCATCTTGCTCACAGCTGATGCATGTCCACCTAGGACAGTGTTTACAAACTGCCAGTGCTTAAGAAAAACAGATGGAACAATTGCAAACTATAGCACCGTGTCCTCAGAGCAGCACTCTTGGCTTTTCTCTGACTAGAGCTAACTTCTGTGTCCACTTCACCTGTGTTGTTACTGTTCTTGGGCAAGAACTGTGTCCAGTTCAATTCCTTGTCCCCATGGTACAGCCCAGGGCTGGCACATAGGAAGCACCCAGTAAGAGAGCAAAGAAAGAAGCAGAGACCTGGAGCAGGAGCATGTGCCAGATTAGGCTGTGGCTCTTACAGGCCACACTGTCTGGAAGCATCCACTGCTTATTGCTGGACTCTGATCAAATGACCAAGTTCCTAATGTGACCTTTGATGCCTGCCTTCACCCAAACTCATACTAATGCTTTGAAACACTTTGACCAAACAACTCGAGAAGTTTGCTTTTTTCCTGGTGGGGAGCAAGGTCAGGTCATTTACCTTAAATTCTGTATTATGATTGGCATTTTGGCTTCTTAAGGGCCAACAGCTCATGTATACTCAAGTCACCGTACCCCATTCAGTAGCTCTCCCTGTTACAGAGAGCCTGCCAGGCACCAGGAATTAGTGAACTTATTACTATTAAAATTCTTTATTATTATTAATGGATTTTGTATTTATTCCTAGATGAAAAACTGTACTTTACGTGTCCCAGCTTGTCACACCTAGTGCAGTGGAGACATACAGGCAATGGAGAACCTTACCATCAACCCAGATACCACAGGGCTTTCTTAAATGGAGATGCGGTAAATTTAAATTCACCTTGTAAAAAATCTCAAATAAGTTGGAAATAAGCAGAATGAGAGTTGACAGAGACAGCAAGCCCCAGAAATAGTCCTCCAAGGACTATGGACTTCATACAATAGATAATAAACAGCCACTCTCACTATCCATCTGCATCTGCAGATTCAACCAATCACAGATATATATATATATATATATATATAAAATGCCCAAACATATACAAAAATTTTTTTATCATTGTTCCCTAAACAATACAGTAAATCAACTATTTACATGGGCTTAGGTATTATAAGTAATACAGAGAGGATTTAAAGTACACAGTAGGATATGCATAAATTGTATGCAAATACTATATATATACGTAGAAGTATCTGCAGATTTTGATACCTGTAGGGACCAGGAATCAATCTCCTATAGATACTAAGGGGCAACTGTATGTTTAAAAATATATAATTAAAGATAAATTTAAATTAAATTAATGAACAATAAGAAGAAAAAAAACTAGGGGTTGGAGGGGAAGGGAGGGGGCATGGGGTCAGAAATGCTGGTGGAACGAGATGATCATTATTATCCAAAGTACATGTATGAAGACACAATTGGTGTGAATATACTTTGTATACAACCAGAAATATGAAAAGTTGTGCTCTATGTGTGTAATAAGAATTGTAATGCATTCTGCTGTCATATATAAATTAAAATAAAGAAATAAAGAAAAGAAAAAACAATAGAGCTAGTAATGAAATAAAAAGAAATAATGAAATAAAATGCAAAAAATAAATACCCATAAACTTGACAAAGATGACTGTGGTAGTTTGGATGATTGTTTCCAATTTTAACTTCCTTCTTAGAATAGAATTATAAATCCAAGCTCTTTGCTAAAGTACTTTGTAGAGGCTCCCACTGGAGTATGTGGAGTAAACAACCTAGCCCGTTTGATATTTGGTTTGGCCCTGTGACTCTGAGTAGATAGGAAGGGAACAGTAGCCTCAAGTGTGCTTGTAAGTTAATGTGGCCTCTTGTGTTTCTTTCCCAACCATGGTAAGAATATGTCCCTGGAAGCCATTAATATCAGGATAATTACATGATGCAGAATAGACATGAACTCACCTGAAAGCCCTGATTCCAACCCATTGTGCTGAGTCCTGGCAAGCTGAGCTGAGATCAGCCAAAGCTCAGCAAAATGGAAGACTCAGAGCAACAACCAAAAATGTATGTGATACAGATTTATTGTTGCAATGATTGATAGAAAAGTATAAGAAATAAATCAGGAAGGAAAAGAGAAGAATATGACAATATGGACAGTATTGACATTAAAAAATATACTATGTACAATTTTTTTATAGAATGTATTTTCATAGCAACATGATTGCAAACTAGAAAAATAGATGTTAATAAGCAATTTAGAATTGGCCCAAGAAGTGTTAGAATGACACATAAATCACAAAGAAAGAGAAGTAAAAAGTTATCCACTATTCTTATTT